AGAAGCCCCAGCCAGCTTGGTCAACAGTCAGGAATTCTGGGAGCTGAGGTCCAAAACAGCTGGAGGACCAAAGGTTGAGAACCTCTGCTTTAGAAGAAAGGGGGAAATGTTGAGAGGTAGGGATGGCCTGGGAGCCACACTGCCACCATACCCTAAATTGGCTGGCACTCTGTGGGTGCCCTTCTGTAGAATCTGTAGGGTGCCCTTCTGTAGAATCCCTGCTTTAGGAAGACCAATGCCAGCTGGTGACTTCCATGTAAGTGAGATGGCAAATCCAGTCATACCTGTAAAATTTAGATTATAACCTTGAGTGGATGTAGTTGTTTGAGCATTGGACTATCACTCTGGAGATCAGGGTTTGAATCCTGACTCAACCATGGAAACCCCATTGGGTGATCTTGGGCAAATCACACTCTCTCAGCCTCAGAAAAAGGCAAAGACAAACCCCCTCTGAACAAATATTGCCAAGAAAGCCCTGTGATAGGTTCGCCTTAAGGTTGCCGTAAGTCGGAAATGACTTGAAGGCACAGGATGAGAAGGATCCATTTCACTACTGACATGGAAGCCACCAAGTGGCACTAAGAAGATTGGAGCCTTAAGGCATTTTTGTAACATTTGAAATATTTGTAATATTTACAGATATATGAGTTGGGCATAGGTGGCAGCAAACCGATTAAGACCTCAAGACAACTTAACACTTCTTGTCCTTTGGCAGGAGAGCTGAGGGTTAAAATCCACCCACCTTGTGGGGTTTTCTTCTGAAGGGCCACCACTTAGGTCTCTGTCATAGATCTGTAAGCTGAGGCAGAACAGCTGAAAATATTTTCCCAAAAGGAACGAAAAGACGAAGCACAGACAAAGCCCAGGTTTTCACTCCAAAGGCTCAAACACCAAAGAGATAGGAAGCCAATACCCAGTCATTCGGGGGAAGAATGATTGATGTTAGGTCGCTTTCACACTGGATGGGTCCTATGGATCCTATGGAGTCTTGGGATTGATAGTTTTGTGGGGTAGCTGCCTTGGTCAGGAGAAATATGAGGTGTGAAATGAATGAATGAATGGATGGATGAATGAATCTTTAGAATTCTAAGCCAGCGAGCTCTAGTGACTCACCAAACTACAGATCCCAAGATTTCATAGGGTACAGCCACAGCAGTTAAAGGAGGAGCGCAGGGCTGCAATGGTGTCGTGTGAAAGAGTATCCAAAAGAGTAGGCATGGCGCTTCATCAGAGAATGTTACAAAATGAAGGAGAGTGTCTTTAGCAATGTGCAAGAAGCATATAAAAATCACTGTGCGGGAGAAATGCTGGGTGACTTTTTAAATGGCTGATAATTAATGAGGCCTATTTTTCAGATCAGCTGGATGGAGCTTTTTCTCCCTGTTTCACCATACAAGAGCCCGATGGGGTTGTCGAATGGAGCTGAATGATAAGAGAGTCAGGACAGAGAAAAGGAAGGATTTCTTCAGATGACATCAAGTTCAAGGATGGGATTTGCCGGTATGCCATAAAACACTAAGATCCAGCATTGCCCAATGGAGCATACTAGTTGTGCAAGTGGAACGCCATTGTGTCTCCCCAATCTGTTCAGGTTTCAGTGGATGATGCCATCATTCTGCATCTGGCTGTGGAGCATAGCCAGATAGCTATGGAGCATAGCCAGATGTTTCTCCAATGCCTTCCTGCTCTCCACCAGCCACAGAATGGCTGTTCAGGGGGCTATAATAGAAAAAACATGACTTTGGGTGGTGATGCTATGGTTATTGCAAAGGAAGGAAGACAATACCAACTTTGCAATGGGATATATATGCAGGTGTTAGGTGGATCTATGGTTAGGACAAGCATCCAAAATCTATCATTGTCTTCTACTCTACTCTTCCAATTTCGAAAAACGGTTGAAAGAATGGCGGCAATCACAGTCTGCTGGTGATGGGAGTCTACACTGTTTGGATCCTAGCCCTCTCATTTATTGCTATGCTTTTGTGTTTTGAAATTAGTTCATCTTTATTTGCAGTCAATAGACCATAAAATCTTCAGATTAAAAGACACATTTGATTTTTTTTTTAAAAAAAAAACATACAATGCACAATAAAATGTCTAATGGTTAAAACAACTAAACAATTCAATTATACATTAAGTACAGTTAACATTGTTCTGTCATAAGTGATTTAGCAGGTATTGCCAGATTTAAGAAAACAACAACCCAGCTACCAGCTCTGTAAACAATGTATTGGAAACTTTGAGCAGAATAATAAGAGTTTCAGGGAAAAGCTGCATAATTAGAAATATTAGGGGTTTTTTTCCCCCTAGCCCTTTAATATAGATTCTACTTCAGTATTGTTAAAGAAGCAGCAATGGTGGTTCATGCAGTTTTATTGTCTGTTCCATCTAATAAGGAAGGAAGGGAAAACATTGGAACTTGCCAAGTAGAAGTCCTTCCTGTATTTGGGGATACTTAACCAACCCAAATAAGGCATCTCTTTTTTACACAGAAGATGTGGCATAGTGGTTTGAGCACTGGACTATGACTCTGCAGACTAGGGTTCGATTCCCAGCTTGGCCATGAAACCCACTGGGTGGCCTTGGACAAGTCCCACTCTCTCAGCCTCAGGAGAAAGCAATGGCAAACCCAGTGTCACCCACTGCGGCCTTCATCCTCTACACCCTCTTGTGACACCACTGAGGTCACCCAGTGGGTTTCCATGGATGAGCGGGGATTTGAACCCTGGTCTTGGGAGTCTCAGTCCAAAATTCAAACCATTGCACCATTGCACTCATCTAATCTATTCATAATTTTGATGCACATGATGAGCTCTGATGGACATGCCGACATCATAATGTGCTTATCATTAAAGAATTGGATGCGTTGCTTGTTGATCTCACTCGCTCTCTTTTTGTGCCAGTGCAATTGGTCAAAGTTGCAATGTTGCTTATTGTAACTCTTTACGAAAGGGGTGCTTTGCCAAGGGTTTTGTGCACCCATGCTACCCCACTGCTCCCTTCAAAGGTGCACTATGCAAGATCAGAGATGAAGTGGAAGCAGCCCATAGGATTCCTGGGATTCTGTAGGGCACTGGTGTGCTAATTCCAGTGTTTTTAAAAAACAACAAAATGGAAGGCAAGAAAACAGGGAGGCTGTGACAAGCAGGCAAGGCTGTTGTGGCGTCTGCTCCAGCATGTGTCCAGGGTCAGAGAGGATGTTCTGCTGCAGGCTTTGCCCTGTAGTTCCCCAACTTCCCTGGAGTGAAACAGGCAGTTATTTTATTCCCGGGGAAGGAGGTAGCCATGCTGCCCCTGTCACCCAGAGCACAGAGGACAGCGACCATATGCCTTCCGACCTTCCCTTGCTTTTCGAGGAAAGACTCAGCCCGCTGGGCATTTCCTATCAGAATGGTTCAAAGATGGACGCTCCGATGTGGCCTAGGACGGCATTTCCGTGGCACTTGGGCGCTGAGAGGGAAAGGAAGGGAAGGGTAGCTTTGCAGGAGGGAAGGGCACCCGAGCTGCCAAAGAGAGGGATAAAAAAAGGAAGCAGAGAGGCGAGATTGGCATCTTGGTGTGTACGAAGCTGGCTGGGCTTGGGAGAGCTTGATGAACCCGGTGGGCATTTTTTGCTCATGGTGCCTAATTGCAGTGATGGGCCTGCTTGGTGGCCAGACTACCAGCCTTCATTAACATGCTCAGCAAAGTTGGCAGAAGCAAGGGGAAGGGAAGTGGGGGCGAGGGATGCCTCCCAGCCAGAGGCACAAACATGCAAAGGCTGATTGGAGGGGAGGGCTGGAGAGAGGCTCTTGTCACTCCTGGCCACCCATTTTGGGTGCCGTGTGACACTTGCTCATTCTCTGCTTTCCTCTGCGTGTATATCTTTGCGTGCGCATGCTAATCATCATCTCATCGGAGGTGGATAACGGCACAGAAAGGCCTCCAGCTGCTGGGACTGGGGAGAACATGGTGTCAGAGCTTCATTAAATGGTACCTGCAGATGAGCTGGTTTCACAGGGAACATGACAGACAAGGACCCTGGCACTCTTTTTTTTCACATGGGGGGCGTTCAACATTGGCAGGCAGGTTGTCATTAATTTTGACTCCCTTGAAGGCATGTTTTTACAAAACAAGGATGAAACAATCATCCCCTTCACCGCCATCATCCAACTGGCAACCATCTGAGTATCATGAAAGCAAGTGCATGCAAATTGTGATGACTTAGTACACCTCCGGCTGGTCATTCCATAGGAGGCTCAACTATGTTGGATTCTTGGTGGCCCAGTTTGGATCAAATTTGCCAGAGCATTTGAATCACTGGAACTTGGCCTTGCAACTGCTGCACTCTGTCAAATGGGAGGGCTGGCCTTGGATGTAGTTTGGTCCTGAGAAATGAAAAGGCACCATATGAAAGTGTTCCGAAAAACTGCATTGCTCTCAGAGGAGGTGCTCTCTCAATAGACAGGGCATTTGTTGTTCATTGAGAGAAGGAAAAAGAGAGAAGGGAGAGGGGAGAGAGAGAAAGAGAGAGCGAGAGAGAGAGAAAAGAGGGAATTGAGGAAGGAGAGCTGGTGACAAGAAATGATGGCTCTGTGCTCTCTTGCTCTCTCGCTCTCTTTGCTCAGCCACCTTCTCCACGCACACAGCTTCCTTCTTGCTCATTTCTCTGGACAGATCCTTGAATCTGGGCCATTCCCTCAGCTTATAGGATTCCCATTGTGCACACTTGATATTTAACAGCTTTGGCGTCTCCCATAGCTGGGAGTGAAAAGAGAGAAAACAGCTCGGCGATGTAATGGAGCAAAATCTGCATACGCTGCCCGGGTTCCATGTCCCTTTGCACTGTTTACTTGGAACGTAAAAGCTACGAGCTGTGGCATCTACTCAGACTTCATCAACCCATCCTGCCCTTGATGCTGGCCTCACAGACACTGCCAACTCCAAGTTTCTTCCTTTCTCCAGCCATCTCATTAGACCAAGGGGATTTCTTCTTTGGTTCTTGCGGTCGCCCAAGCCATTTTTATTTTTAAGTTCAGCTTGTTAACATATCCCATAAAAAAATAATAATAATAATACAAAAGCAGACTCTCTCTCTCCAGCCGGAAAATGTCTATGCCGAACAAAGGTCTCGGTTGCTCCTGAAAACAGCTTTTATGTGAAATTTAACAAAATATAGCGAGTGCACTCCGATCCATGTTTGCTCAGAAGTAACACCTGTTGGATTCCAGGGATTTTACTGCTAAGTAAATGTGTGGATGATATTATTATTATTATTATTATTATTATTATTATTATTTCAGGATGCAGCTTAATGACACGGATATAATTCTGCAACAGGATTGTATCCTATGAACAGTGTGAGAATTGGTCACAACAGATTTATCTTTTGATTGACTGACCGATTGATGAGCCACTACTTCAGGCTAACAGCACTCCAATTGACATACCTCCATGTAAAGCATGAAACCATTAAAGCGGCACCATTTGAAATCCTAAAAATGCCACAGTAACCCATAAAATCAGCAGGAAACTAAATGGGAAAACCCAGTGGCACTGAGGGATATAACAGCAGGGGCATCAGGACACGTCCTTCAAAGCCTCCCTGAACAGGAAAGCTGGAAACAAAAAAGGTCCTTGAGCACAGAGTATAAGAGATGCCCAGCTGCAGTATAAATTTGCTCCTTGATGTGGTGTTTTCTACATCCTATGAAAGTCCCCATCACCACCATTTCTAGGGGGAATAGGGTTGCCAAATTGAAAACCGGAGAGGATTCCTATACAGTGGGCCCTTGGTATCCACTGGGGTTTGGTGCCAAGACCCCCATGGATACCAAAATCCATGGATGCTCAAGTCATAGTAAAATGGTGTCCCTTATATAAAATGGCAAAATCAAGGTTTGCTTTTTTTTTTTTTTAATTTATAAATTGTTTGAATGTGTTTCAAGCCCTGGATGGTTGAACGTTTTCAAGCCATGTAGGTGGTAAAGATGAGGAGACCTTCAAGGGGGGGGGGGCAGGTTCCAACAACAATAATTCAGCCTCACAAACACACAAAACCTGACTTTCAAGGGTGAAGCACTCAACACGGCTCAGTTTTTCCTATATTGGATTTTTTAAAATTAAAAAAAACCCCGCACGTTCTTTCCACCGTGAATATGAAGAAATATGTGCATGTCGGTTAATTCTTAACCAAAATGAAGTGCCCCCAAATGTTCACCCATGCCTAGTCACCATGGCTGATCTAAGGAAATTCTTGGATGAGTGTCCAGGGCAAAGGAGCTCTTTCCTCCAGCCTGTTTCATAGCCACCAAGGGAAACGAGATGGATATTCATGTATATATAGCGCTATGTGCTCACTGGTCAGCATCTTCTTAAAGGGTTATTATCTTCCTTCTCCCAATGGTCTTATGCAGGCAAGCAGGGAGTTACATCAAGAAAATGCATTAAGGCCAATCGGCAAGAGAGCAGGGCACCTTTGGATCCCGCTCCCTCCTGCTCAATTATTTACATCTGATAATTCCCAGCAAATCACTGGCTGTTTATTTGTGCCCATGTATAATTGAAGAGTTTCCTAGAGCTCCGGCCAGATCTCCTCATGCTATATCTGGCCACATTCTTGAAAGCCATTTTGTAAATTCTGGCAAGAAAAGGGAGTCTCTAGAGTGGAGTAGCCATCCATTGAGGAGACTCCCTTTTAATTTTTGGCTTCTGCGGGGACTCGGTAGATACTTTATCGCCGCTTAATTGACGGACCATTTAAGGGAGTATGCTAATGTTTTCAAGAGTTTGCTTGTTCTGGGGAAGAGGCCTTTTCAAAACTAAGCACGCTGTCACTTCTGATATTCGAAAGGGAAAAGATTTCATGGTTTATTCCTGAAGGGGGGAAAACTAAGGGTGCGTCTACACTATAGGAATAATGCAATTTGACACCACTTTCAAGTGCTGTAGATCCATCCTATGGAATTCTGGGATTTGTAGTTTTATGAGGGCTCGAGCCTTCTCTGCCAAAGAGTGCTGGTGCCTCACCAAACTACAAATCCCTGGAGTCTTTAGGATGGAGCCATGACAATTAAAATGGTGTCAAACGGCATTATTTCTACAGTGTAACTCACTCACTCTCTAACTTTCCTGACCTTCCATCATCTTCAGGGTGTAAAGTGCTGCGATCTCCTTGGAAGAGCTGGGCACTGCCTGGGCAAGTAAAAAAGAAAAAGTCCAGTCTTTCCCATTTCACCTCGAAAAAGATACCAAGGAACTGAGGAAGATACAGAAAAGGGCTAAGATCAAGCAAGTATATTTGCTGTTGCTCCAGGGGGCATGACTTGAACTAACATATAGGGATGTGAGGGAGCAGATCTCTGCTAAACATTAGGAGAAGCTTCCTAATGGTAAGTGTCAACAGTAGGAAACACTGCCTTGGAAGATGATGAGCTCTTTGTCACTATTAAATCAAAGCAGAAGGTGGATGGCCATCAGTCAGGGAAGCTGAAGATTCTACAGAAACTTGATAGCCATCAGTTGATCAGCACAACTGGCCTAATTTGCTCAGTGTTTCCTTTTCTAAGCATGCCAAGGCAAGTCCTGCTCTTTGTCGCAGCTGCTTTAATGTCAAATGTTCAGAAAGGTGCAGTTGCTCTAAGGTCCAGCTCTTCATGTACAGGCTCTACTTCCAAGTCAGGGCTTGGAGGCCTTCTCTGACTCCAAGGCAGGGCCATCAGACATCTCTATCTCTGACTGGAGTCTGTCGTCTGGGTCCTCCTCTTCCCCTTATTCACCAGAGAAGGCTTCCTTTAT